AGTAACAACTGCCTTACTAGTAGTAACAAGAAGCTACTAGAAACAAGTGCCACGCTAGTAAGGCACTTGTTACTAGAAGCGATGCACTTGTTCCTAGTAGCTTATTGTAGATATTTATATATATGTATACATGCATAAGAGTATGCAAAAGATATACATAAGATATATACATCATTTAAGATATGTTTTGTCCCATGCATGTTGAATGCATGTCAGAATTCCAGATGATGTTCAGGAACAGTGAATTTAATTGGACTTATATGGGTGTCTCACCAGGGTTCTGAATTTCTGGTGGTTCTGTTTTTGTCCCGTGGTTTGTCTTGGAACTGGTCACTCACTGTCAGGTTTAAGATTGGTGTCTCACAGTTTGTGGAAGCTTTAGGCGGTCGTTAACCTAACCAAGTACCGAAGGATCCATGTGGATCCACCTCAATCAGGCAAACAGCGCTTGGCTCTCGAAAGAAAGTGGCCCTTGTGACATTCCAGTGCACTATGAAAAACCTGCTCCAGTATCTGCTCCTATAGCTCACGAACTGCATGTCGGACAACCTGACATGTAAATGTCATGTACCCCCAGAAAGAACCAAAACCTAACTGCAGAACAATGCTTTTCCTCCACACGTGGTGCCCAGATCAAGAAGAAACCCGGCTTGCAAGACGAGCATCGGCGTCCGGCGGCCTGGAAACGCCGGAAAGGGCGCCGGCCCATCGGCCGTTGGGTCGTAGACACCCATTGCTTCATGTGTCACTATTTTTGATGCCATTTGGCAAGCAAATTGTCAAGCAAAAAAAACATTCACCTTCCTTCCTTTGGGCTTCCTCTCTGCTGAATGAGCGCCAGACAGAGCTCCCACACGCCTTGACATTGGTCGCTCAGGCTTAGAACGAAAAAGCCTGATGTGGTTTGAGACCTCGGAGGATTTGCTCCCGTGGCCGGTGAGGCAGAAGCAAAGCTTGGAAAGGTTCACAGCAAAGCCTATGAAGAGTCCAAGACTCTAAAAGAAGACTCTTTAGGGAACCTGAAAGGGAATTTCCTTAACTTGACTGCAAGGCTACTATTATACAGTCTTCGGACTTCGGCAACAGGAAGTTGGCAAGTTTTTCTAGTCCCCATATGCGGTCTAAACCTCGATACTGAGTGGTGGGTGATGGTTTGGATCTCAGCGATGCACCCTAGCTACTAGTAGCCTCTTGCTACTAGTATATAGTCATGCCCTTAGTTACTAGGAGCGTCCTTGCTCCTAGTAGCGATGCCCTTTGTTATTAGTAGCGATGCCAGGAGTAGCCTTTTGAGTGATCCCCTCAGACCAGACCAAATCGTCCCTCCCGAGCGCGCAGGACTTCCAGCGGCGTCTGCAGAAAGCCCTCATTGAGCTCGAAAAGCACAAGGTGCCGGGGGCGTGTGTGAAAACAGGGCGTCCTTGTGGATTGTTCGGACATGTTCACATGTGGGTCGACTTTGTATATATAGTTGAGCAGGACGAAAAAAACAGTCTCAATCATTGGCTTTCACTTCGGCCTTTCATTTCGACTCTGGGTTTTCCGGTTTTCTCCCGGAACGATCCGCTCAGGCCGAGCAAGCGAAGAAGGAAGCAGAGGAAGCTGAAGAGCGAAGACGCCGGCAGGCGCGTTTGGAGCGGGGGTGCGCGAGCGGAGCTCGGTCGAATGGAAAGAGACAGAGCTGAGCTCGGCCACGAGGGCCAGGAGCCCCTAGTAGCGTCCTTGCTCCTAGTAGCGATGCCAGGCGCCCCTAGTAGCTTCTTGTTACTAGTAGTAATGCCCTTGTTACTAGTAGCGATGCACTTGCTCCTAGACTAACAGATACACCCTGGAAGACGATTGCATGGACTCTGAGGGTTTGAGTGGAAAATCAGACACACTCATGCTTTTGGTTTGGAGTAGCTCCCTTCATGGCCACTGCTGGTGAACATTCGAAGACTGAAGAGGGGAGCAAAGAAGATGAGATTCTTTTTCAATGACGCCAGAATGATAAATCTTGTTTGGGAAAGCCCACCAACCACCTCTTTTACTCAAAACAAGGGTTTTAAGAAATGATCTCCGCTTGATCAAGGGTCCAGCGAGGCTACAGGGTTTGGTTGGCAGGTTCATTCTCTGTAGAATTGTCATTTGATTCTGCATGAAGGAGGGGAAATTGGGTGGTTCCCATGATCTTTTTTGAACAAACGCATGCTCCAACTGACAGACCTGTGCACAGGAAGAGGAGGCCCTTGAGAAGAAGCGCCAGGCTGTGGGACGGGCGCGCACCTTGCGGATTGCAGCGGACACCAGCTGTGTAACCATGTGCACACCAAGTAAGTCGAAAGAAGACCCGAACTTCACGCGAAAACACGTGGTCAGGGCCGGGTGCTGGTTTTCGGGGGGAATGAAGCATGTCATAGCATGTCCGTTGGATTTCTCCGGCAACACTTTCCAGCTCAATAAATGGAGCATGCACAGACATACTGTATTATACATTATATGGTGCGTTATGGTGTTGTTGGATGGTTCCACATTCTATGACTTGGAGGCGATTGTACCTCCAAGACGTGATATATTCAGGGTGGAATATTTAGCAAGCGATGCACATATATGGCCAACCTGATGGCAGCAAGTTTGCCATATTGGATCACGATATTGATCTACAAACCCAACCCAGTGCTGCCGCAGATCTTTGCCTTTTGCCACTGTTTTTGGGATTCGCAGCGGGTCATGTGGGCGTGGCGAGGGACACATGCAATGACATGTGGTCGCCCCAGACTGCCTGGCGCCGCGGGGTGTTTGGCTTTCAGGCGCACCGCGAAGCCGAAGAGCGGAAGGCACAGGAGCGGAGCGACGGGTCCGTCGTGTGCTTCGGTCTCTTCTCCCGCCACGACACGACTCACACGGGCGGGGCGTTGCGGGGGCGAAAACCCATCATACACCTTCTGTTGAGTACCCCAAACTTCGGTGAAGGGGCTTGGACATGTTTCTCGGCTGGTCAGGGGCGATTTCCGAACTGAGGAGCCACGTTTGGAGTGAATAAGCTAGTGATGTTGTATTGGAGACAGACTGTAGCCAAGGGTTCTCTTCCAATCCCTTTTTGGATTAAGGTTTTGGACATGTTGGGAGAGGAGATATGATCAACCTGGAGACCAGTGGATCAGAATAGATGCACTCTAAAAACTAATTTTCAAGTTTGGGAATATGTTGGAAGCAAGCAGAATCCTCATTGGCTCGATTTTGTTTGGTGTTTCCAGTACCAACCTGGCAACCTGGTTGAGTTTAGGGACTGAGCCGCTGCTTGCCACAGACCCTGAGGAGCTTGAAGCGCGCCTCGAGAGCAAGCGCCAGGAGGCCACATTTTTCCCGTAGGAGGCCACCATGCTTCGGCGAACGCTGAGGAACTGCGGTATTAGGAGTTTTTTCCCACCTGCCAGGTGAGGGTTGTTAGATTTTATCACAGCTGTTCTTCCTCCGCCTCCGCCTCCGCCTCCGCCTCCGCCTCCGCCTCCGCCTCCGCCTCCGCCTCCGCCTCCGCCGCCTCCTCGTCCTCCTCCTTCCTCCTTCCTCCTTGCTTCCTTCCTCGCCAATCTGCTTCGCCGATCTTGTCTGGCCAGCTCCGGATCGCAGTGTGCACCCCTGGACCTCAACCCCTGGACAATCACAAACACGCAACTACAAACACAATCACAAACACACAACTACAAACACAACTACAAAGACACGATCACAAACACACAACCACAAACATACACACAACACACAACCACAAACACACACACACACAAACACACAACCACAAACACACAACCACAAACACACAACCACAAACACACAAACACACAACCACAAACACACAACCACAAACACAACCACAAACACAGCCACAAACACAACCACAAACACACAACCACAACCACAAGTACAAACACACAATCAAAGAGACACAACCACAAACACACAACCACAAACACAACCACAAACACATCCACAAACACAACCACAAACACACAACCACAACCACAAGTACAAACACACAATCACAAAGACACAACCACAACCACAACCACAACTACAAACACATAATCACAAAGACACAACCACAACCACAACTACAAACACATAATCACAACCACTACCACTACCACAAGCACAACCACAAATACATCCACAAACACACAACCACAACCACAACTACAAACACACAATCACAAAGACACAACCGCAACCACAACCACAACTACAAACACTCAATCACAACCACTACCACAACCACAAACACACAACCACAAACACACAACCACAAACACACAACCACAAACACACAACCAGAAACACACAACCACAAACACACAACCACAAACACACAACCACAAACACAACCACAAACACACAACCACAAACACACAACCACAAACACACAACCACAAACACACAACCACAAACACAACCACAACCACAACACAGCACACAACCACAGCACACAACCCGAGGACCCACAAGCAACATCGAGAACTACAATACTGACGACGATGGCAACATGCTCCTCACTATGGCATCAAGACAAATGATTGAAATGTCATGGTGGGGATCACTCGAAGAAAAGTAATTTTCTTTTTCAATACCAGTAGCTTCTTGTTACTAGTAGTAGTACACATAGCTACCAGTAGCGACGCACTTGTTACTAGGCAACGGCTCAGAGGACTTCCAAAATGAAACGGCATTCCCTCGCTTCGCACCTTTCTCACCGGATGAGTCCAGTCCTCGCATCGTTGTGTCGATTTGGCCCGCCCAGGCCGCGTTGAAGCCACAGAAGGCGCAGCCACAGGCGAAGAAGAAAGAGCTCCTCGGTGACTGGTTGGGCTGTGGGCACGGTGAAGGACTCAACCGGATCGGCTGGTTCAAGGGATTGTGAACGAACATTTCCCAGATCGACTGGTATAACTTATCATTTTTTACGAAGTTATACCAGTTTGATGATTGTTTTCCTATAGTACACATATGCCATATGCGATCATTTGGCCTATATTATAAGGTGTATGTTTTTCATCATTTGAACCAAGGCGATATGATATGATGCTCTTGTCATGTTATCAAACGGAGCTGTGAACAGTGAGAAACAAGCACTGGCTGAGGGTAAATTACCATCAAATTCCAGTACCAAGTTTGACCACTGGGTTGTTTAGAGTCTACCGCTTTGTCCTCACAGCCTTGTACACTGACATACCAGCTGCTCTCCACACCCGTTTCATCCCTTTTCGTCTTTTCGTTTCGCCAACCGAAACCCACACCAAACATCACTGAACACATGAAGTTCTGAGGAAGGTCCATCGAACCAAGCTGGATCCTCATGTTCCTTGGCAATCGACCAGTGGAAAATAATGTGTTATTGTTTTTTTTCGTTGGATTGGTTGGTCATCGGAGCGAGGTGGTACGATTGACAGGGGGCACGGGCACCATCTTTGGGGATCAGATTAGAGAACAAGAATGGTCACTCATTTGACATGACAGCAATTATCATACCTTATACCGTGATGGTTTATTGGATTTGAAGACCCAGACATACCCAGAATACATGACTGGTAGACTGGTAGGAGTACAACAGGTAGTACAGTGGAATATGATGTTCACGTTTTTTGTTGTTGGGTGTTAATCCTCAATACTCCCCCAAGGTGGGGATCCGCGGAAGCATGTTGATCGGAAACGACTTCCGTGCTTTGAGCGGTTGGGTGTCTTGTTGGATCCACCAACCCATTTTGCTGTTTGTAGCTACTCAGGGCTGGCCCAGTGCTTCCTTTCGTGCACTCCAAGTCAATCAGTACCATGTTGTTCCAAGTCGGAATGGTTGAAAGATGTTGAACGACAGACTCTAGCTATATCGCTTGCTCATCCCGAAATCTGCTTCATATGGGCCGCGCGATGTTTCGCTTCGCTAAGCGCCGCTCACCGCCGCCGCGGTTGGAGGACTTCTTTCAGCCACCGCCCCGGGAAGAGGAGGAAGCCGTGGAGGGCGTGGCGGAGGCGGCGGAGGCGAATCACAGTTCGTCCAAATACAAAGCTGGACAATGGAGAGGTGTGTGGGATTCACCCAATGGTTTTGTATGACAGAGCAGTTTGGCATCACATTGAAGACTTATAGCCTTAGAGAGTTTTTATCGTTTTTGGGAGGACTTTGGAGTGCTGTTTTTGGTGTTGCCAAGTGTTGAGGTCTCCGGGTTCATAGACTCATCAATTTGAACATTGGGGTGGACACAGAAGAATTCATCCATGACCGAGTTCAAAAGTCAAAAAAGAACAAAACAGGTCAATGATCTGAATATTCCACGACCAGCTGGATCTGAGATAAGATTTGGACGACCAAGGCTTACACACACGGGACCATTGGCATGGCTTGCGATGCTGTCCTGTGGTCGAGATACCTTGGTAGACCAACGAAAAAGCTGACTTCTGCAAGCGTTTCGATTCTAAAGCAGATGTTCACAACCTTGACAGGCAGAAGAAGAAGCCCCCAGCACGCCACCCACCAATTCGCAGCTTGACGAACATGCATGCATGCTTTCGGAGCCATTGTCGGGCGCGGCAAAGAGATATAGCATCCTGTGTCTCGATTCACTCTATATATTTGTTAACTCTCTTGAGGGATTGACAGAGCCTCACACAGCGGGCCAAAGTGATATGGCTGATGCAGAGGATGCATGAACGAATTGCTTCGTCATGCTTCGTCGTTCGACGCCGGCAACGGCTCGGTACGCAAGCGAAGCAACCCTCGTTTGCCGACCAAGGACCGATGCGGTGCCCACCACGCCCGAGACGAAGCCACCGGCACCGAAGCCCGCGGCAAAGCCGAAGGTGGCGCCCAAGGCGAAGGCCAGGATTAAGCGATGGGTGAGCCCAGGGCAGGTGCTGGGCAACAGTTGGGGGGATATTAATAACTGGATCGGGTGATGAAGAAGGTCAGTGATGGTCTGTCTGAAGAACTGGAAGAGCTCTCAGCTTTTGTCATCAGTCTTGCAAACTAGACGGCACAGACAAAAAAATGCAACTGGTGGGATAGATTTTTGATGCGGTTGAACTGCAGGTCTTGCATGTCTCAGAGCTACATTGCACTAAAATAGGAGACCTCCCAAAGACCCTAAGCAGGAAGGAAAATAGACCATTGGTTGGGGATCTCCCCAATCCAAAAACAGACCCGGGATCGCAGTCAGTTTGATACGCCACCGGTGTTTTTTCTCGTTTTCGCTCTGGTCCTGGAACACATGTCACTAGAAATGACTTTAATGTTCAACTCTTCACTGACAACTCAAGTCTTCTTCACTGTGCCGTCTTCTTGGTCCCAGTATGTTCCAGTCTTCCGTTTGACTGTATGGGCAGGCGCCACTTCCGCCGTCCAAGTGGGGGAAGGTAGAGGGCGCGGCGGAGGAGCAGGGAAGCCTGGGAGTGACTGCTTGGAATGACAGCCACGGGGTAGACAGGTAGCAGTGGAGTTGTTCTTGTGGAGGTTGAGAGCGGCATGGAAACAATTGGAAACAGCCTTTAACCAAAGATATGTTGAGACAGGGATTCACTCAAAACCGTGGCCCGGACTCATAAAACTATATAGGCCATTTTTGGTGGATTCATGAACAAACAAAGGTCGATGTTCAGAACCCTTCAGATGCAGCATGATGCAGCTCCCAACATCAGCTAGACTGCAAGGGTAGGACCAACCAGGGGGAAGTTCGCCGGAGTCCCGGCCACTGCTTGAAGCAGTTGATCAGAATCAATCGTTTCAGCCGCAGTAACAGGCTCCAGATCACAGATGACTCTGTTTAATTGGCTGATTACAAGTTGCTAACCGTTCTTTGTACTTGTTACCCATGCCTCGTCATGCCCTCGCCCTGCCTCGCATCCCTTCGGCCCTTCGCTGCGACCGAGGTCGCCGGACGAGGCCGTTGGACCCTCCTTGCAGCTGGGTGCAACACCGGGGAGTGTTCGCGAAGGGATGGAGGGGACCTTGCATTGGTTTGTAATTAGGGTTATAGGCCATTGACGGCCTTGGCGCACCCTGTGGAAAAGGTTGGAAAGCAAGTCACAACTATCAATCCTTTGGAAAACAACTGAACGAGCGAGGTGTGTGGCTGGTATTCCCAGAGTCCCTGAAAACAGCAGTCAATGTGGTGAATCTAATCAGGCAGGAAGCTGCAGCGGTGGCCGCCACAGAGGTGCGTTTTGTTTGTGCAGCTACATGGCAACATGGCCATGAGGAGAATCAAAAGAGCGAATTCAACTTTGTTTGTTTCCCACTTCGATAGGGCAGCTGCCAGAGTAGGAGTTTGAGTGGACAACCTGGAGATTGTGGTGTTTATGTATTTGCAATGTTTCAATATTGCCCGCCTGTGCATCCACTATCAACGTTGGACAACTGGGGTAACTACTGGGCCTTTCGCAAATGCAGGCGCCAGCTGCAGCCAAACCTCAAGGCGTACCACCTCCCAAGAAGAAGGCCCGGTTTATATTTGGGCAACGCCTGCAGAGAGGGAGCTGAAATGGGCAGGGACAAAAACCTGTTTGGAGGTCTCCCCAAAATGGAAACAACTTCCAATACAATTTGTTGGTGATTTTCTTCGATCCTCCCTTTTTGTTTGTGTTGAGATAGCTATATGGCCACTGCTTATTATGGAGACTCACACCTAATAGGGTGCTTTTTAAGACTCACACGCAAGGAGGTTTGTGACCACGAGCAAACTGTTGGGGAACACACAACTTGGACCAAGGTTGTTCGGTGAAGCCACAGGGCCTCAATGATATAAGCCGCCATGTTTGGGATTGGTGGCTGAAGCGCCCCTCATCGATACCTTAGCGCAGGCAGTTTTGGGAAGACGTTTTCTCTGAAGGGGTGCAGAAGACTAGTTCTTAATGGAGCTCGGCAAAACTTTTTGCTACCGAAAACAGATAGACGGCATAGCCACATCCATTTGTCATGCAGGTGTGACATGGATGTGTCGTCAATTTAGTCCAGCAGCTTGGTACCACGAAACTGTGAAGTCTTTATTCCTGTCAGAGGTACTAAGCATGTACAATTTTGGGCTTATTCCCGTTATTCCCCCAAAAAAACAAAGCAAACTGCAACTTCTCAAGAGATCTCAAGAGGGCTGTATGGGCTGTAGGGGAGGAGGTGGTCAGAGTTGTTTCTTGGTGCGCCTCACGGATCCTCACGGTGCCTCGTGCTTGCTGTAGGAGAAGAAGAAGTTCACCAAGATGGCCGTGAGCGATCTGGGATTCGATGCCAACAACCCGCTTCTTGGGAGGAACGGAGAGGACGGAACGGAGGAACTCCTCTGGGGGACTGGGAAAGGAGTTGCAATTGCTGGACTGATGGCCATGAGGCCGGCTTTAGAGAAAGCAACTTTGAGACATGCATAGACATGTTTTGTGGATTTTTGCAGGAATGCCTACTGTAGGATCCAGGTAAAGTTCATAATTATGCGCTTACGACTGTTTAAAAGTTTACACCACTAAAGCTGATTCCATGATCGCCAGCTGTGCTGATACCACAGTGAGAGACTACCCAGGTCTACACAAGTTTTGTTGCAGAACCGAAGGACATCACGGCTGCACATTGGGTGAATCATGACAAATCATAACATGACATCAAACACCGGTGCGACTCTTCTAGGAACAAGAAACTACTAGTAACAAGGTGCATCGCTACTAGTGGCAAGAAGCTACTAGTAGCTCCTGTCATTACTAATGGGAACAAGGACCTTTGCACTCTCAACCCACCCAGGGTGGAACCGGACCTGGCACCAGCCTTCTCGGCCCAGCCTTTCACGATTCTCCAAGGAACTACCGCTGAGGCTTTGTGTTCGTCAGGCCGGTAAAATATCTATTCAGCCCCGTGAGGAGCACCTTCTTGGTGGATTTGTTTGCCCACTGGATGTTCTTCAGATGGTGTAGTATTGCGGTGCCTTCTGAGGTCCTGTCATTTTGAGAAGCAGCCATGTGATGCTATGTGTTTTGCATTGTGTTGCTGTTGTTTGTTGAAAACGTTGAACCAGAAGAGCATCTCCTACACCGTACGCAGCATGGGGATGGATGCCCATGCTACCTGTGACAGTTGGCCACGGTGAGTTGATCTATAGGAATTGGATAGCTATTCAAAGCCCTACTAGTAGCATTCTTGCTACTAGGAGTGATGGCCTCCAAACCTAATAGCGATGGCCTCCAACCTACTAGCGATGGCCTTCAAACCTAATAGCGATGGCCTCCAAACCTAATAGCGAGGGCCTCCAAACCTACTAGCGATGGCCTTCAAACCTAATAGCGATGGCCTCCAAACCTAATAGCGATGGCCTCCAAACCTACTAGCGATGGCCGCCAAACCTAATGGCGATGGCCTCCAAACCTAATAGCGATGGCCTACTAGCGATGGCCTCCAAACCTAATAGCGATGGCCTCCAACCTACTAGCGATGGCCTCCAAACCTAATAGCGATGGCCTCCAAACCTAATAGCGATGGCCTCCAAACCTAATAGCGACGGCCTCCAAACCTACTAGCGATGGCCTCCAAACCTAAT